ATCGTGCCTTTTTTACTCGACTCGCTCCCTGCTCAAAAAAGTCGATCTTATTCCGGTCGATATGTTTGGAAGTCATGTTCACATCATGAATTTTTCTACCTGTCGCGCTCGCGTCATTCGCTGGCCAGTCGGGAGGATAGTACATTCCAACTCACATGCTTCCCAAACCAAGACTCGGGGGCAACAGCGCGACTGCTAAATCATATATTAAAGTGAAAGGGGTGCCCTCCCTTTCAGAAAATGAAATCTTACTATTCCTTTACTATAGACCGGAGCTTCTCCATTGCATTGTATGCATGTATTCATACTTTTTTATATTTTTTCATTGCATAACGCGACACTTATCCATACTCCATGCTTCTTTGTTTTCATCATTCTTTTCATTATCTTTTTTCTTCGAGATCTTTCTTCCTATTTCCCTCTCTATCTTCCACCTCTTTTCTCGAGGCTTCCTCTTATCATCCCCTTCTCGCATTACTCTCTCTCTTTCCCTCCCTCCCTCTCTCTCTTCTTGTTCTTCTTTACTATTCTCTTCCGGTAGGGGTTTGCGGCATGAGACTTCAATGGAAGATATGTGGTCCATTGAACGATCGATCTACTCTTCAAGCCCATCGCTTCCTCCCTTTGTTTCTCCTTCGCACGTAGGTATTTCTTCTCTTTTCTTGATTATTCTTCATATACACTTGTTTCTTTTGTTCATTTTTTTAATCTCATCTTCTATGCATCATTTTTGTCGTCGTTTCTCATCGTCATCTTCTCTATCATCATCCTCTTCCTCTTCCCAGTTCCTTAATTTTAATCTCTTTTCTTGATTCTTCTTCATATACACTTGTTTCTTTTGTTCATTTTTTTAATCTCATCTTCTATGCATCGTTTTTGTCGTCGTTTCTCGTCGTCATCTTCTCTATCATCATCCTCTTCCTCTTCCCAGCTCCTTAACTTTAATCCCTTAGACTCCGACTTGCTTAAGCTTCTTAGGTTTCTAGCAGCAACAACAGTGCCCTCAGGTGAATGGAAGCAATGCTGCTGCTGTTGATGATTTGTCTACTCCAACGCCGCCTCCGATGCATGGTGGGCACCGCCTTCACCACCGCCACAGCTATTGTGGTAAGCACACACCCTCTTGTACCTCTTGTTGAGGTCATTAAACTTGTCTTCGCACTACTGTGGAGACACATAGAAACCTTTCTCCATCATCACCTGAGACACCGATTTCCACTTGCCTTTCTTCTGTAGAAACCTACCAGGCTTCTTCTTGCTGGCGTTGGAGGGGTTGTTGCCTTTGGAGCCACTGTCGTCGCCGATGTAGAAGACCACCATGATGAGAAACCTGACCTTGTTGTCCGTCCACTTCATTCTCTCCCACGATGACATTCTCTTCCTCGCGTCTGTTCCACCGTCATTTTATTTTTAAAAGGGTAAACTTCAGACTTAAATAAGATAAAGCCTAAAGGGTAAACATATGACGTTGGAAAGGTATAAGCTTTGACCAATCTAACCCCATGAGTTTTGATAAATACCCTGTATCACCTTTTGAATGTATCATATTGGAATTTGGAGCCTATAATATAATGTTTTTGTTAGCTTAAAAACACTTGTTGTATCAACATATAAACAAATTAATATTTATTAAAATAAAAAATAAATTGGTATTAAAATGAGATGTAATAGGTGATATCTTTAACATTCTTAAAAGTTTTAATATAATTGGAAGCATACAACATGATCAATACAAAATAAATAGACCACGTGATATCTTTAATGCGATTGATTACCTTTTCAATTTATTATGCCTTCATATACGACTCTTCTTATTAAAGCTATATTCTCATAAATAAAGTATAATAGGCAATTATGAATGTCAAGTATAATTGGGTTCTGATTTAATAATTGGTTCGGCTCTAATTGTGAATTTTATGTCCCAATTATAATTGAGTCGGGACAGGGGGTTGGGAGTTGGGACCGGTTCACCCTGTTCTGGACCAGACTCGACCAATTGACATCTCTAAGCCTCTACCTGTTGAGGCCAGCACAATTTCTCGGGCTTGAAAGAATCTCGATCTGCTACTCACATCAACCTCACAGGTACATCCGACTTTATATCGGAAATATCTCTCGTACTTTTATGTTATTATTTATGAGAGATATTTTCAATCAACGGTGAGATGCCTGCGAGGTCAGTGTGAGGAAGGTCCCAATTGGATTGGGGAACAGTAATTAACACCAAAGTTCTGATATGGCCCACTCAACCGGGCCCCTGCACTCCAACCGCTGATGTAAGGCAAAGTTCTGATAATGACACACTGGGCCCACTAAACCCGGCCCATGCACTCCAACCGCTGATGTAAGGCAAAGTTTTGATAATGACAAACTGGGCCCACTCAACCCGGCCCATGCACTCCAACCGCTGATGTAAGGCAAATGGCGGCAACGCTACAACAACCTGTTTCATGGCAGTTGACTACAAGCTTTTCCTGTCACCCGTTCCTATTAAAAGGAGAAAAAGGAAAACGTGTTCATTCCTGGAACTGGAAGTTTCTTTTTATAGTGAGGACCAAACTCCTCTAATCGAATCGAGCCCTAGAAGAACCAGGCAGGTCTCACCGCGCCATGGGTTGCTCCTCCTCCCTTCCAGGTAAGCTTGGTTTCTCTTTATTTGATTGGAGTTTCTTTCCGAATTTCGAATTTCGGCCATGTGGGTTGGATCCTGGTTCACCTTTTAGGCGCCATGCAATTCCTATTTGTTCTTTTGGAGGTTTTGAGGTTGACTTAATCTTGAATTCCTTTGCATTTCATTTTCGAAATTTGCTATGTCATTACTTTTATGGTGGACATAAGCTGAATGATTGATTGTTTTCATGGTCATCTATTCATCGTCCTATTCCCAAATGAATAATTCGTTGCTTTTCATGGTCATCTTTTTTTTCCTAGAAAGCACGTCTTCTGGACGGTTGGATGGTTTCAGTTCTGAGAATGTTGAAGCAACTGACTCAAAAAATTTACGAGTGAAGGTGCGCTTGTCTCTTCCCCGGCCCCTTTTGCGTAATGATCTATGCTTCTGGTTTGTCAACTTGTATTACTGATGGATATTTGTTAGGAGTTGAATGTGTTAAATTGAAGCTTTGGTTGGTTGAAAGAATTAGGGGAGAGGAAATGGGGAACAAAATGTGAGAGATTATATATATATATATATATATATATATATATATATGTATGTATTCATAAAACAATTGTTAGAATGGAAGTCTTTGCTATTTAAGATGAGTGCCTCATGAGGTTTGTTAGTATGAACTGTCGATGAAAGAACATGCATTACTAACTACCCAATTGTTTTTTGTTGCTTAACAATCATAGGTGCTTTGACTGAAATCTATAATGCAAACTTGTCAATCAACCCTCGTCCCCCTCCCCAAAATAAAAAACGATGAGGATGTAAAACATCATCAACTTTTTGTTTTCACTTAAAATGATAATTAAAAATAGTAGGTTAGTTGGCCCCTAGCTTTAATGTTGCATGGGCTCCCCTGAATGGATGAAGTATTTGTGTTCCACATGCATTGTATTTTGATACTCCATAGATTTTTTTTTTTGAGAGAAGGGTAACACAATTTCATTAATCACAAAAGGGAAGGATGCACATTAGAAGATGTACAAAAGACCTTGATAGAACAAAAAAAGAACAAAGTCGACTTATAATGGCATTGTAATCCCTTTTGTTGGAATGCACATGTGAGTGTATGTGGAGAAAGTCCCACATAGGAAAGATACAAGAGATACAAGGGACTTATATACAAGGATTGGCCCACAACTTAATGTCTTAAGATTTTAGGTTGAAGGTGGTTTCTAACTGTTGTGTATCAGTCCTACATATATGTACATGAGCTCCTTGGTTTTGGTGACTCCCTCGATGCACAATAATTATATTAGAGCTGAAGGTTCAGCCGGGCGAGGTACTGATAGATGCATTTGGTGACTTCGATGGCTTGCTGGTTTCCCCATTGTTGAGCAGTTGGCAAGGGCGGTTAATCTCCCAAGATGACTTCACCCATGGGATTATTCTTTCATAGTTGAGAAGTTGGTGATTCCCATGGATGACTCTCCATTTGGTAGCTTGCAGTTGAGCGAGAGCTTCTATGGTCATGAGTAAAGGGCTCTTGGGTGGTGCATGTCAAACTTGATGATGTGATAATGACTTCCGTTCAATGGGGAGTATGGAGTACCTAATGTGGAAGAAAAGTCTCATATGCAAAGGGGAGATTGTTGGGATGCATGTGTGAGTGTATGAGGAGAAAGTCCCCCATTAGAAAGATGTATGAGGTGGAAGGGATTCATATAATTCTAGAAATTAAAAATAATTATGAACTGTACTGTTCTATGACATGTCTATAAGTCCATGTTTTTCCAATTGCCAAGTTGAACTCTTGAATATTGTATGGTGTAAACCTACAATGTTTTTTCCTTAGACTATATGAAGGGTATTATGAGTGTGCATGTGCATGCATTCTCCAACAAAACAAGTCTGTTTGAATTTTATGATTTACTTATTTTTTTAGTAATTTTCTTATAGGCCTTTATGATCTATACCCAATTAGATCCGTATAAAGTCCTCTCCTCACAAGATCCCAAATAGCTAGGACTAACTTTGAGTAATGGCCTATATGAACTATTCTAGATTGCCTTAGAAGGATGAGATGGGAAATGGTAAGGGACAAACAATAGATGGGAAATACTTGTGTTGAAGATGATTGCATGGCTAGCCTTATGGGATTAGTTGATTTTAGATATGCCTTCTATAAAGGTGGAGGCTATAATGCACTAACCCTACTCCCTATGGGTTACAATTGGGATTTTGCCTTCTGAATAGGTCTAAGGGATGATGAATTGACTACTTGTTTGGAACTTTGGATCTCTTACAAATTCTTTAGAATGTGTGCCTAGATCCTACTAAACCAGATAGGCATATTTGGCCCCCCCGTCCTAAGGGTTTTTTTCCTATGCTTCTTTGTTCAAGTTTCTTTGCAATTCCTTGTCCTCTCCTCCTTTTCCCTTTGATGAGTTTTGGTGTATATACCCATTCTCCCTAAAATAAGAGGTTTTGTTGGGAAGTAATTCATGGAAAGATCAATACTTTGGATATGGTACAGAAAAGAAGACCCTCATCGTGCAGTTCTCTAAACTGGCGTGTTTTGTGTAGATCTAATGGTGAGATTTGCTATCACTTACTGATATCCTGTTCCTTTGCTGCAACTATTTGTGAGTGGTTCTTTTCTTTGTTTGGGTGCAGGCGGACTCTTCCAATGGAGGTTAATATGCTATTTGATCCTTCTACGTTCACTTGGCCCAAAAAGAGGGAAAGAATAATGTGGAGATGTGTGAGATCAGCCTTGGCTTGGACCATATGGGAAGAAAGGACTGCAAGAATCTTCTTAGAGAAGGAGAGGAGCAAAGAAAAAGTGAGGGATTATGTGATGGCTAGGGTGATCCATTGGATCAAGACTGGAGTTGTTCTCCAAGTTTTCTTTTGATGATGTTTGGAGAAACTGGAAAGTTGTTGCTAGAAGCTCATCCAAAAAGAAAAAAAGTTATGTTAAGCTGAACTATGATGGGAGCAGTCAAGGTAATCTACGCCCTTTTGTAATAGGAGGGGTTTTGAGAGATTTAGAAGGAAACTTCATAGCTTTGTTTTTCTGGCCCTGTGGATATGGGTGATTCTGTTAGAGAAGAACTACTTGCTGCCTTACAAGGAGTACATATTACTAATAAACTGAATATAGTGAGTGTAGTGATTGAAGGGGACCCAAAATTGGTGGTGGGGTGGCTTAAGGATCCAAAGTCCATAATCTGGTGCTATATGAGTGAGATGAAAAAGTTTAAATGGCTTAGAACCTGAGAATACAATGGGTGAGGAGATTGGCAAATCAGATTATGGATACGTTAGCCAAGCAAGGAGTGAATAGGAATCAATTGTTTTGGGGTCAAATGTAATTTGTTTTTGTTTTATTGCAAAGAAGTAACATCTTGTGCCTCTCTAAGGGATGCTACTAATACTTTAAGCTATTATTTATTATTTAATAAAATTTGAAATTACTAGTCAAAATAAAAAATAATGCACCGACTCTTACAGTAATTGTTGCTTCTTTAGATTATAGTTACTAAATGTACCATACTGATCAACAATAGAGACAATATCACTGGCAGTGTTCTGAGCACCACACTCTTTATTTCTTCAACACACCTATGCTTCCTAAGAGAAGAGAGGGTTATTCCCAATTAAATTATCATTTGTGAACAAAATCTCCTAAGTCATAATTACTTATCATTTGTATGTTGTTTGAGAATTATTTGTCAAACATTTTTTTTTTGGGTTACCATGATAATAAGGTATATGATTTTTAGATGTCATGGTTAAAACATAGAAGAAACCTAAGAATTTTACAGAAGCCATTTAATTCCATATACTTTAAATTATCATTAATATTTTTTGATCTTTTTACTGATAAAAAAGGCATTCCACATTTCAATCACTCATGATCTCTTTTGAGTATGAATGAAATTTGTCTGTGGCTGTAAATCTTCCTAATGTTTTTGAAGTTGTGGGCAAGGACAATGTAGGGGAAACTTAATTATCTGTAGAGAACACTGATGTGGGCCCCACAGCTACGGTCCCACTGTGTTCGTAGGGCAGAAGGTGTTCTAGTCTGCCTAGGGTTAGTTATTGGTCATTTAGTTGTTTCAGTTGTTATTTATTTGTCTTATTTTTGCTCTATTTATTATGTAAAGACTAAGGGCAGATCTGTTTTTTCTATGTAATGAGCATAACCTATAAATATTAATTAAAGTGGCGGCGGCAGAACATTAAACTTCTGCTCCTCCTTTCAACTCGTGTTCTACTGCTTCTCCTCCCTCTTCCTCTTCTTTCCTCTTACCTTTCTTCTTATTTTCGATCCTGAAATCCATTAGGGTTCAAGACTGATAACAGTCCTGAACTTCTACTTTATCAAAAAAAAAAAAAACAATGTAGGGGAGACTTATCAAGAAAAAAAAAATGTAGGAGAGAGAGAAAGAGACCATCATAATGAATGATGGATGAAGGTGTTGGTGGGTGGTATTGAGAAACTACCCACAAACTCACTCTCATTTCCAGTTGTTTCCCTTGTTCCCAAAATTAAAAAAATGAAAAGATAGTTAAATGCAATTGATCTTATATTTCAATATTACATGCAGCTGGTGCTTTTAGGGGACTCTGGTGTTGGAAAAAGCTGTATTGTTCTTCGCTTTGTTCGTGGACAGTTTGATCCATCATCCAAGGTAAGAAACATCTGGATTAATTTTATCCTCTGATAATCTTGTCATTGTTATTATCATCTTCCATACCCCACCTATCTGCCTTGACTACAAGGCTCCTGTTCTCTACTCTGCTATATCTAGGCTGAAATAATGAGCAGTCACATTTTACTTACCACCTGAACCTGTGTTCTCTGATGTCTTCTTGTTTTTTCTAAGTCTCTTAGAACCTTTGACTTGCACAAAAGTCCAAGTGGTTCTTCTTTCTGCTGCATCAGTTGGCAGCCCAGTGCACGATGCTCCCACCAATGAGGGGTCTGGGGAGGGACAGATGTATGCAGCCTTACCCCTGCACATACAGAGAGGCTGTTTCCAAGATTTGAACCCTGGTCGCCCAGGTCACAATGGAGCAACCCAACTGTTGTGCCAAGGCCCACCTTCTCTCTCTGGTGTATCAGTTGCTGCATTATATAAATTTCCATTTTGCTTGATTGATTGTGGCATTTTCTATTGCTTAAGAAGCTGTTTTTTTTTAGCCCATCCCCCAACCCTGGTGCAGGCGGGATTTGATCCCAAGCCTCTGCTACAACCAGCAGGAGGCCTTACCAACCGACCAGTTGGCTTGTGCCAACAGATCTCAATAGTTTGTTTCATTACATAGAGTTACTCATATTGTTGATTTATAATGATTTCAGGTGACTGTTGGAGCTTCATTTTTATCACAGACAGTAGCATTGCAAGATTCTACAACAGTCAAGTTTGAAATATGGGACACTGCAGGGCAAGAGAGGTATTTTATACTGATTGCACAATCCAAGTAGTAGCAGGAAGTAATTATTTTTGTCCTTTGGCATGAAAACTGCACTCACCATTTTGAAATGAATCCCTCCCTATTCCTGGGGAAAAAATATACTCCATTGTCCTTTTTGCCACAATTAAATCCATGGTAAAATATCAACTTGCAACTGCCTTATATGTTGATAAATATTTTTGTCAGATATGCTGCACTGGCCCCCCTTTACTACCGAGGAGCTGCAGTTGCAGTAGTTGTGTATGATATAACAAATCCACAGTCATTCAACAAAGCTCAGTACTGGGTTAAGGTATCTTTCATTGGTGATTTGAATTATATTTGATTGAGTTTCTTATTTGTTCCTTTGGTTTCTTCAGGTTGGCTGAAAATTCTTGTTGTCCACACTTGCTACTTTATTCTGTAATGGTTTCAGATGAAGTAATACAAATTAGCTGATAAATACCACTATGGTGACATGTTAACTCAGTGAGAATGTATCATGAGACCATCTAACCAAAGTGAATGAAGCATGTAATTTAGTTCTTTCTCCTTGAAGGAAATAGGTAGAGCAAAAGGATAATGATTAAAGTTATGATTTGCTATTTCTGTGATCTTGTACATAGGGAACTAGGAAAGGTTAAAATGTAAAATGGTAAGCATGTTACTTGAGTACCACATTAAGTCTCAGTTTGTTAGCACCTAAAATTTTTGAAACTGGATCTTCATGGCATGATAATATCTAAGGTGAGGTCAAGGTGGTTACTCTTCTTATTGAGGCCCTAATTGTCTCGTACTCTTGTCTCACTTAGCCTGGCAATTGAAGAGTCTAGGACCTCTAGGCCAATCAACTTGAATAAATAAAGGAGATTGAAGAGAAAGGATAAGAGAAGAGAGGAAGAAGAAGATAATGGAAGAAGTGAGAAAGAGACAAAAGAAAGAGATGGAACGAATGGGGTATGTCTTAGAGTCAGCCCACCCGTTCTAGTTTATGCTTATGTGTTTAAAACAAATAAAATTACAAATGTATACTTCTACAGAACTACGTATTCCTATAGTCCCCCTCAACTCAAGTGAACTATAGATGTCAATCATGCTCAACTTGTCAAGTACACTGTCAGGTGTCTTCTTTATCAAACCCTAGTAAAAAGATCAACAAGTTGGCCATCAGTCTTGACATATGGGAAGCAAACCTCATTCCAGTCAATCCTCTCTTTTATAAAGCGTCTTATCAATTTCCACATGTTTGGTTCAATCATGTTGCACAGGATTGTCGACTGCTTTATTGTCACAGTACAACTATGTCATCAACATATACAATAAGAGCATAGGTGAGACCATGCTCAAACTTAACAAATAAAATTTGATTTACTTGGCTCTGAGTATACCTGGATTTCTTGATGGCCATATTAAATCTGTCAAACCAAGCTCTTGGAGATTGTTTTAGTCCATAAATAGACTTTTTCAATCTGCAAACCTTACATGAAGGTACCACAATACTTGGAGGTGGAAGCATGCACATTTCTTTTAATTCACCATGGAGAAAAGCATTTTTAACATCTAGCTGATGTAGGGGCCAAGATCTATGGGCAACCAAAGCCAATAGAACCCTTATTGAGTTCATATTAGAAACAAGAGCCAATGTCTGAATATAATCAATGCCATTAGTATGGTCTAACCTTTGGCAACTAGCCAAGCCTTATATCTCTCCACATATCCATCTTATTTATATTTCACTATATAGATCCACCTACACCCAACTGGTTCCTTCCCTTTAGGTAGATTAACCAACTCTCAAGTTTCATTTTTGATTAGAGCTCCATTTCATTGTTCATGGGAGCTTTCCTTTGGGTTTAGATAAGGCTTCAGATACACTTTTGGGGATAGGGATGGATGAGATAGCAACAAGGAAGGTGTAATAGGACTGGGATAAATGATAATAGGAACAAACTTTGATATAGGATGCAAGGTGCATTTCCTGACCCCTTTTTCTCTGGGCAATTGGAAGATTAGGGTCCTCAGCAATAGGTTCAGCATGAATAGGAGAGGAATCATCAACAGGAACAATGGGTAATGAACCAACAATAAAAGGAGGAAGTTCATAATTAAATGGATTTGAATCTAGATCCACAGGAGGAGACTCAACTAGACTTTCATTGATAGTTCCCACATCTTTCCTCTTATCCAGCCACGAAGAAGAAGAAGGAAGAAAAAATGGAATAGGAAGAAGTAATGGCCTCTCTTCAATAGTAGTATTCTCTCCCTGAAGAGAGAGGAGGAAAGAAAGGAGTGTCTTCAAAGAAAGGAGTCTTTACTAGAGGTGAAATTTGTTTTGTGCAAGTTCCCTAGTTGAAAATGTGAATGAAAGTAAAAGTCTTTCTGGTTCCCTGACCCCCCTCCTATAGTAAAGATTCTAACTGATAAAGCAAGGTGCCAACTGACTAGTTGGTAAGGTCGCCAACTGGATGTAGCAGAGACTTGGGATCGAATCCCACCTGCACCAGGGTTGGGGGATGGGCTATCCTCTGTTGTGTAGCCCCATGGAGACCCCCCACCCCAAAGAAAAAAAACTGTCATGTCAGCAAAAAGACTAACTGATAAATATTGCTCATTAATTTTCTTTTCCAATCAATTAGAGTCTTTATTTGAGTATTTCTATTATTACTATTGTGGTTATATTGCCACCTAGAATTTTTGGTAATTTATAGGGCTGACATGTATATATTTTTTTTTGTTGTACATTTCGTGCATTCTCATTTTTTTCAAATGTTGATACAGTTATTCAGTTATCTACAAATGATTTAAGGGCCTATAACTTAACAATGAATATGACACTGAACAGAGAAGAGTGGGACAAGGTTTAGCTGAGTTGAGTTGAGTGTTGATTCAATTCTTTAGTTACCTTCTCCCCTTCAAGAAAAGAAGCAAGTTCATCATTTGAAGAAGGCCTAATCTTGGAGAATTGAGAATAGAGGAGATTATGATTGGTTGTTGTGTCCACAAGATAGAAATACCTTTTTGATTTGAGGTTTCTTGGCAAAAAAGTTAGTGATGAGGACCGTGATAGGATCTCACATAATAAGGGGTTATATTAGGTATTAGATTAAATTGTTACATATGATAGTTGCATTCTGTTTTGATTTCTTAGGCTAGAATTCACTTGCTATGATATAAAGCTTGTGATTTGAGCAATGTACATATTCCATGTGGAATAAAATTCAATGGTAAAGCATGACGATTTGGTGCTTATAGTGGGTTTCTTGCTTGAGCTTTCTTTAGTGGTCTTTCACTTCAGATGATCTTGAAGAATGTTTTTCTGCCTCTATTGAGAATAAGGATTTTGACTCCTACCATCCTTGTACAAGTTTGTAGGGGTGTAACTGAATCAAGTTTTAATCAAACAGTTTTGGCTTGAATTCGATTAAACTTGATTCAAGTTCGATGCTAATCGAGTTCGAATCTCAGGTAAGTTCGATTGGTTTTTCATACTTGAATTTGACCAATAAAATATTTGGCAAAGACTCACAAGTCATGTTCTGTCATCACAGTTTAGAATCACTAGAACATCTATTCTTACACTGCCCATCCAGTGCAAAGATATGGTGTTTTTTCTTGAACCTATTCAATATTAGCTTGGTCTTTCCTAACACTGTTAATGAAAGCATTGAAGACTGGTATACTGGTAGATTGAGCATGAGAGGAACGATAGTTTGGAAAACCCTTCCCACTGCTATCATGTGGTCCATAGACCAAAAGAATCTTTTGAGGGCAAATATATACAGTTTTCTGAATTAGTATGGAAAACATATTCTCCCTGTTTCTTGTTATCAGTTACACAGGAGTTTAAAGATATGGCATACCATAGCTGTTTTCGAGATGAAGTGCTTTGAAGCTGAAGGAGTGGCTCTTCATTATTGTTTTGTTGCTGAAGAGCCTTTATGTGTGCAGCTTCTTTTTTCTTTGGGAACCCTCCTACCACCTTTATTAGATATAATACAACATATTACCTGTTCTTAAAAGAAGGATATACGTGGATTATATGTGAAATCATGTTGGTGCCAAAATTTTCCATAAATGATTTCTTTTCTAAGTCCCAAGCACAAGACTTAGAAACCAAGAATCCAAATAGGGGTGGGGACTTCAGAGGGGGGGATAAATTAAGGAGATAAGAAGACCTAAAAATAGATTTAGACAAGTTAAAAGACTGAAAATGAGATATAAATGGATTAAATAAGATGGAGATACTAGTTGGTTTTATAAGAAAAGATTTAGTCCCTAGGTCTAGACATATGCTCCACACTCAACATCTTCTCATTTTTTCTACCAAAATGCTGGAAGGTGTTAAAACAATACCTTCAAGGATTTGCATGAATTCTGTTGAAGAGTTGTTTATATATACTATTATATTGGGTGGGTTTTGGGTAGGAGAGGAGGGGAGGGGGTGGTGGGGCTGCCATCCAATTTTCAAGCTTATTGGCCTTTGCAAATAATAGAGCAAGGATTCTCTCCCCTTTTCAAGGACAATATGAAAATTGTGATTGAGTAGATGGGAGGTAATATAGTTTATCCATAGCATATTACCCCTTCCATTAGAGAGGCCTATGCCTTGATATGCATGTTGAATACTTTTTTCATGTGGATGGACAAATAAAAAATTCTCTATTTGGTTTAATTTGTTTTGATGTGGCATTTCTAGGCCAATAATAGATTAATTAATTAATTAATTTTTTTTGGGTTTTGTTTGTTGCATCTTGTTTCTGTTTTTTTATTTATGCATGCATTGTATTTTCCCCATGGTTCACAGCCCTTCCATTAGAGAGGCTTGTGCCTTGATATGCATGTTGAATACTTCTTTCAGGTGGATGAACAGATAAAAAAATTCTCTATTTGGTTTAATTTGTTTTGATGTGGCATTTCTAGGCCAGATAATAGATTTATTAATAGTAGTCATACAAGACTGCAATCAGTCTTAACTAAAAGAAGAAGAGGAGAAGAGAGAGGGAGAGGGAGAACTCGTAGAGAGATTTTTGAGAAAAGAGAGAGGGGTTTTGTTGTGTATACTGCCACCCCTCTTAATTGTTATTTATAATCATTAATCTCCTTACAATGGTAGGAGTTATTCTAATACCCCTACTTAAACTCCAAGGAATAAAAAAAAGGATGGACATAAACAAGGCCCAGCCGGCCTAACTAAAAAAGGAAAACATAATAAATGTGTGGTTGGAACCACACACACTACTAACTATCTCTACACTCCCCCTCAAGTTGGGATAAATGTTTGTCATTCCCAACTTGCGTAGATCTGTCTCCAAT